AATATGCAAAGACTTACAATTATCAGCAGCTGGCGAAATGATAAGGATTGGTTTTCACTTTGTCTAGAATTTTGACAGAAGTAATTACACTTTTGTTTGATAATTATAAGAATATTTTTTTAAATTCATTGAGATATTTCTTAGTAGTACATGAATACGAAAAAATTTAATCTTATTAATAGGTATATTCCGAGTTCACACTTCACATTCAATTCGTTGAATTTGATAACATATTATAATGTCTGCATTTCAAGAATAAGATATTTGTAAAGTAGTAGTCTCGCTAATAAATTTGAATTGTGCAAACTGATGTGGATGCGCCAGAAAAAATCAGCAAAATATATAAATCACTACTCCATTTTTTTGGCTAAATTTAAATTTTATTAAAACACATTTGACAGTTAATTTCACGTAAACCATTAAAATAAACTTTGCTTCTCAATGCTGAATATTTACGCTGTGTACTAAAGCAAAGTACGACCATCCTGTTTTCAGGATCTGAAAAATACTCTGTCAAGTACAAACTTCACCAGATAAAATTAGTCACCTTTACAAAAGTTTCTAATGACAAATGAAACAAGTTAAAAGGAGAAATTGTAAACTCTTTTTGGGACCGGAGCATGAAAAAAATTATCAATCTTTTAACTTCGACGTTAGCCATTGACCATTCAGCTTCAAATATTGCGTATGCTAGGTTGCTGCTCTACAAATAAAATTAATCTTATTTTAACTTACCACTGGTCAAGAATCAATCTTTACTTTTAGTGTCAGTTCATTGCCATACCAACAGTACGTGAAAGTCTCAACAGTGAGTGCACCCCCATATGATAAGGCTGAATAAAATTCACTAGAAAATGGAGGAATCTACGAACACATAATCAATCCAAAATATTTAATTTATACTTACGATAGTCAATTCAAACATGACCAGTCCAATAGACACCGCACTAGTAAAAAATTGAAGAAACACAATCCAGTTTAAAAACTTATTAGTACGTTTCCCGAAACTAAAAATATTTGACTATATTGTAACGTAAATTTAAGGATATTTGTTACCTTAAAATTTCTCGGTGGTGCTGAAAGCAAATTTTTAACTTCTCTTTACATTTCGACTCCTCTTCACTCAAATCAAGATTCTTTAAATTATCGCATAAAATATCAAACTGGGCTCCTGCGAATAAATTCGTTGCTGCCATCAGTGTATCAATATTCATAGTGGATATCGCCAGAATGCTCGTACTCAAAATTTGATAAATATACGTAATTTGATACACTGGTGCTACTCCAAAATCGAACGGATACCAAGCAATAAAAGGCAACTGACCTTCTCGATACGACCCATCCAAAATGGGAAAAATCGCCCAAAACAATAACGCAGCTATGCAGCACAACGAAAGCATCAAATACATCTGTGTCCACAGCTTCAGGTCCTTTTCGATTAAAACCTTTTGTTTTACAGTTCGGGGCTGAAACGACTTTCTCTCCAACGTTGTCAGTAACTACTTAACAATTTGTATGTTTTGAGCGAAAAAATAGATTTTTAGCAGACCCAGAAGTTCGGTTAAAAGAATGTACGTTATTCTCATTAATGCATCGAAGTTGTCGAAGATGAAAAATACATTGATTGCTTGAGTGAGGGTGTGTAAAAGTGCAAAGAAACATATAACTACGATGGTGTAGAGAAAGTACAAATTGAATTCGTATTTGTCGTTATGTTTCGGCCACAGTCCCAGCATCCTCAGGATAAAAACATTTGTGCAAATTGTCAACTTCCAGTCGAAATGTTCCATTTGAACTGTTGTAAGTCTTGTTCACTTATGACTAAAAAATTTCTAAATTATGACCATACACCGTAACAAACTAATTGCATTCTTCGACGAAACTAAATACTGATAGAAGTTTTTAATATTCGATCTTCTTTTATACCTGTTGTTATTCCCATCGACCAATAACAGTGCATTTAACATCTGCGCCACTGAATTGCATTAAATTAATTAATAATAGGGAACAACTCCTTCGACAGGAAGCAGAAATTAGTTATGCAACTGCTAATTAAATAATTGCATAGGGATAGTGACAGATGCAACTGCGCATTTTTTTTGTGGTGGTTATGAAAAACTGCAAAAAGTGCCCATTCAGTGCTGACATGCAATAGTTTCCCTTGTTTTCATGAGTATCGAATCGTTCGGGATTCGCTTGTTGCATTTTAGTTCATTATTAAGGGCCACTTACCAGCGATCTGTTATAATTCCCACGATAAAAGCGGCTTTTGCAGTGAAAATTAATTTGGGTTTTGCTTTATATGCAGTTTTCGTGGTGCATCAATCAATAAAAGTGATTTTTTTTTAAATTGATGCATCTTGCCCTAATATTTTATAAAGTTCCAATTAGTAGTGTTATTTTTGTGAAACGCCACTGAACGTAAGGGAGCTTTTAATTGTAGTGTAGATAAAAGGTAAGAGATTTTTATTCGATTGTAGAATTTGTGATTTTTTTACGCTAAAATGAACCGAATTTGGTGGATAGTTTTACTATAATTCGATATACTCGTACTTTTAATAGTTTTTGAATATCTCAGAGAGATTTAGAATTTGCACTGAATTCATGTTTTTTTTTATCTAAAATATGTACAAAGGCAAGCGTGTCAGTTTTGTAAATTACTACAATTAGTTTTTAGCATTTCCAACACAATATCTCTCAAGAAGTCATCAAGTGTGAATGAATTCTTTTGTGCGATTAGTAAGCGAAGTGTTGTTTTGGTGTACGAAAATACTGCCACAACAATAAAAAACACAATCGAAGACAGCCATGAATTTTTGAAGATGTGTCTTTGATAAAATTTTCTTCTTGCCAGATTAGATTACCCTCAATTTGCAAAAATTAAAAAACCACTACCTGTTGAATTAAGTTGGCACCAAATAAAAATCCTACAGGGCTTATATTTATACTAGTAAGTTGGTAGTACAAAAAGCATGATTTTTTACCCTCTATATCAAACCAATCCTTCTCTTTTCCTTTATTTGTTTTCTTCATCATCATTTCGGCTACCTCGGTTTTTATTGCTTGGATTTGTTTCCATTCTTAATTAGCATCTTCTGCTCTTATTGTGTCTTGTAATCTTCACTCTTTTTGTTTCTCGAAGAAGCTTTTCATTTCGATGATATGTTTTTTTTTCATTTCTTTTTCCGGCAACATTTATCTCATTCGGTCTGCAATTCCTTTTTTATAAATTCCTCTATGACCTCTTTCAAGTTTTCCGTGGTATTCGTCTTTATTTCCAATCCTTTGATGATTAGATTGTTTCTCCTGGTATCTTTTTGACATATTTCCAAGGCCATTTCTACGTACTTTCTCTAATTTCTGCTGCATTTCCTTAACTTCACCTTTTAGCTCCTGATTTTCTTTTGTCAATTCATTTATTTACTTTTTATACTCATAGGTCTCATTTCTGATTTCCTTCACTGGAAAATGGCTACGGACATTTTTTCCATCATTGTTTTTAACTCGGTAATTTCGTTCGTCCTTTTTCTCCAGTATTTCCTTCATCATTTCTTTTATTTCCTTGTTTCGATCATCTCCATTTCTATTACTTCCTGAGCGTAAGCAAAATTGCCAAATTTTGTGTTTACATTAGGTATATCATGTAGATGGTAAAACGCTAACCAAAATTTGTCTAATCATCCCCACCACTAATGTGATGACGTCACTTCGAAATTGTTAGTAATTGGGTTTTAAATTGTTTCAAATAACATTGTCTTACACATGTAGTTTATGACTTCGAATTGAAATTTTATCCGAAACGTCCAGATTTTTGGAAAAAAAATCAAAATTAGGTAACAACATTTTGACATTTAATTTGGGATCTACAAAACCGAATACTTTGAAATCTTGCGGATGGGTTACAGTCATGATAAGCATAATAAAATTTCAAACACAATATATTTACTTATCCCCTCCAAAAAAGTGATGACGTCAGCTCAAAAGATTGCCGAATAAATCCTGTCTAAAATGTACAAAATACGATGAGTCTGTACTTGTCATTTATTTTTCCATTCATATTTTTTGGATTTGCATATACAGGGTGTCTCAAAAAATTAATGAATGCGTGAATATATTTTATTGATTTAATCGAATGATGAAGTCTTGGAGACGTTTTAAAGTTATCCTAGGTAAGGTAAATTTTTGATCAAAATATATTTTTGCTCATCCTCTAAAAAATTGATGAGGCCACCCCAAAATGTTGCTGAAAAAATCTTATCTAAAATGTATAAAATATGATGAGTCTGTACTTGTGATTTATCATTCCATTCATATTTTTTGGATTTGCATATACAGGGTGACTCAAAAAATTAATGAATCCGTGAATGTATCTTAAATGTGTAAAGTATGATGAGTCCATACTTGTGATTTATCACTGCATTAGAATTTTTTATTTAGATTTTTTATTATATTTGCTTATACGGGGTGTCTGAAAAAAATTAATGACAGAGTTTATTTATATTATTGTAGAAATCAAGAATCGCAAAACTGAATATGTACTTTGAAATCTTGACGTTGTGAAGTTATTATAGTAAGTTTTTAATCAAAATGTTTTCAACCTCAAAAAATTGTATTAGGTCATCTCAAAATTTTGCCGAATAAATTCCTTCGAAAATGTGCAAAATATGATCAGACTGTACTTGTAACTTATGATTTCATTCAAATTTTTTTGATTTGCTTATACAGGGTGACTCAAAAAAAAATGAATCAGTCAGTTTAGTATTGATCAAATTAAGAACGAGCCACCCGCTTTTCTCGAAAATGATACGGCAAGAATTATAATAATAACATTCAGAAAATTTTGTTCAATTGAGGTTAATAAATAATTTTAGTCATCTGTTTCACATTGAAATCATACAAATATCTAGGTGACTTTCTCCCGATATCTAAAAACATTAACATTTTTTTATTTCCTGAGCCAAGTACAAGGGAAGTATTGTAATCGAGTCCGTCGGCCGACTCTATACTTTTACGTTTTCTCGACCTTTTATGACCCCTACAGTACGAAGAAATAAATCTCCCGTTTCCGTCTGTCTGTTAACTTTCCGGAGGGCCGCCACTGACAGTGTCATGTCTTTATCGGCGACCTCACACGTTCGGGCAAAATAGTTTATACAACCCATTAGACAAAACAGTGACCGGAAGCTGGAGACGATGCGGGCGATCATAAGGTCGTAGCTAGGGGGAGGCTAGGGGATGCTCTCCTAGATTTAGACAAGTGTGAATTACAACATCCAAAAACCAAATAAAATGTAGTGTTTTATTCAATAAACGGAAGTCAGAGCAATAAAAATATCTGAAGGATTCACCCCATTTTTTTGAAAAGTACAGTAATGTCGTACCGTCAATATTTAATAATAATAAAATAATAATAATTATAATAACAATTCCTCGCCCAAAATAACATTCGAGCCGTTTTGCTGCATTTCCAATTTTATTTTATTTTAACATAAATGCAAACGGCTGCTGATACTTGTAATCTAAACGTGCTTTTAGTCCGATTCTTTCAAAGTTTGATCATGAACACTCGAAGTTAAGCATGTTGTTAAGAGTACATTTTTCCCATTGGTTATCTGGTTATTTGTGGGGTGTTATTTACACCAATGTTATATATTTTATAGAGGTTACCACGAAGCAAAAATCCCAAAATCAATTTTTTTATATAGTTTTTCAAAGGGGGCTTTAGCTTCGAGTATTTTACACTACGTTATGAACTATAGAATTTAGATGAAATAGATAACATATTATAATGTCTGCATTGCAACAATAACATGTTTGTAAATTACAGTTTCGTTGATAAACTTGAATTGTGCTAACTAAAGTGGATGCGCCAGGAAATTTCAGCAAAATATATAAGTCACTTCTCCATTTTTTTGTCTAAATTTTAATTTTATTTAAACACATTTGGCACCTCATTTAAATAAGCTTTGATTCTCAATGCTGAATATTTACGCTCTGCACTAAAGCAAAGTAGGACCATGCTGTTTTCAAAATCTGAAAAAACTCTGTAAATTACAAATTATGCTAGATAACATAAGCCACCTTCATAAAAGTATCTATGGATAAATGAAACAAGTTAAAAGATGAAATTGTAAACTCGTTTTGGGACCGGAGCATGAAAAAAATTAATAATTTTTTTACTTCGATATTAGCCACTGGCCATTCAGCTTCAAAAATTGCATAAGCCAGGTTGCCGCTCTACAAATAAAAATTATCTTATTTTTACTTATCATTAGACACGAGCCAGTCTTTACTTTTAGCATCAGTTCGTTGCCATACCAACAATACATGAATGCCTGAACAATAATTGAACCCCCATACGATATGGCTGAATAAAATTCACTAGAAAATGGAGCAATCTACGAACACGTAATCAATCCAAGATAGTTAATTTATACTTACGACAGTCAGTTCAAACATGATCAGCCCAATAGACACTGCACTAGCAAAAAATTGAAAAAACACAATCCAGTTTAAAAACTTATTAGTACTTTTCCCGAAACTAAAAATATTTTATCGTGTTATATAACCTAAATATAATGCATTTTACTTGTTACCTTAAAATTTCCCGGTGGTGCTGAAAGCAAATTTTCAACTTCTCTTTACACTTCGAATCGTCCTCACCCAAATGAAGATTCTTTAAATTATCGCATAAAATATCAAACTGAGCTCCTGCGAATAAATTCGTTGCTGCCATCAGTGTATCAATATTGATAGTTGACATCGCCAGAACAGATATGCCCAAAATTTGATAAACGTAGGTAATTTGGTACAGTGGTGTTACACCAAAATCGAATGGATACCAAGCAATAAACGGCAACCGACCTTCTCGATAAGACCCATCCAAAATTGGAAAAATTGCCCAAAACAATAAGGCACCAATGCAGCACCACGTAAGCATCCAATACATCTGTGTCCACAGATTCAAGTCCTTTTCGATTAAAAGTTTTTGTTTGACAGTTCGGGGCTGAAACGATTTTCTGTCTAACGTTTCCAGTAACTGCTTAACAGTTTGTATGTTTTGAGTGAAAAAACAGATTTTTAGCAGATCCAGAAGTAAAGTTAAAAGAATGTATGTAGTTCGCATTAATGCATCGAAGTTGTTGAAGATGAAAAATACATTGATTGCTTGAGTGAGTGTGTGTAAAACTGCAAAGAAACATATAACTATGAGGGCGTAGAGAAGGTATAAATTGAATTCGTATTTGTCGGTATGTTTCGGCCACAGTCCCAGCATCCTTAGAACAAATATATTTGTGCGAATTGTAAAATTCCAGTCGAAGTGTTCCATGTGAATTGTTATGACTTAAAAATATCTAGAAGAATAAATGTGTACTGTAAGTATGTACTTTCTGCTTCTATTATCTTTCTAACACTTCTCACAAATTATTCAAATTCCGTGCTGAATAAATGCAGTTGTCTTCGACAAAACTAAACACTGTGACACATTTTTAATGTTCCACTTTATTTATATCTGTTGCAATTCGCATCGACCAATGAAAGTGCATTTAACATCTGCGCCTTTGAATTAATAATAGGGAACCACTCCTTCGACAGGGCGCAGAAATGATGTATTCAAATGCCAATTACATAATTACAGAGGAATAGTGACAGATGCAACTGGGCGATTTTTTGTAGGTGCTTATGTAAAAAGTGCAAATGTGTCCATTAAATGCTGACATGCAAGACTGTTTCGCTCGTTTTCATGACTATCGAGTCGTTCAGAATTCGCTTGTTGCATTTTAGTCTATTATTAAAGGGCCACGTCCCAGCGATCTGTTATAATTCCCACGATAAGGGCGGTTTTTGCAGTGAAATTTAATTTGGTTATTGCTTCGTTTGCGGTGTTTAGCTATAAGAGAGTGATTTTTTTAAACTGACGTCTGGTGCAATAAAATTTCATCAAAGTTTCAGTATGCATTGTTAAAACTGTTCCATAGTAGTGTTATTTGTTTTAAATACCAGTGCATACAAAGAGGCTTTTAAGGTAAGTGTTTTCATTCATTTGTAGAAATTGTGACGTATTTTTACACGTAAATAGACAAAATTTGAGGTTTTAATATTACATAACATAATATTTGATTAACAGAGAGCGGATTTATAAGCACAAAAAAATTAAGAATAACCGCTTAAATAAGCACAACATTTTCAATAAAAAAGTTTTATTTTAAGCAAAAAAGCATTAAAAACATAATCATATCACAAATCAAAGAACACTTCTTAGAACTTTGGATAAAATATTATTACAATAATTCTAGACTTTATATTTTACACACGTATTTCAGTTTTCTTTAAAACAATTTATGATTGTAATATGTTCCAAGTTGTCCACTGTAAAATTTTTTCGCCGATCATTTAAAATGTGTTTAAAATTGGAGAATGTGCGTTCAACATCCACACTCGTTGTTGGCGCAAATTTGAATTTTGCAACTAATGTTGAATGTAACTCCAAATCTTCCACCTTCTGGCCTTGTAAAACACGAGTAACGTAGAAAAGAACACCGGAACCTGCATTGTTATTTAACACTTCGTCAAGTTTTTGAGATACTCGAGTACCAATATCACCCCTTACTGGGTTTGCTTGTTGTTTAAATTCTTTCACTAAGTTTATGGCATCTACCAACATGTTGCGTTTTTCTAACTTTTCTATTACCTCACATACGAATTGATAATTGCTTCTTAGAAAAGCTAGATCTTGTCGCAAATCTTTGTTTTCCAAAATATTTATGCAATCTTTAATCGATTGAGAAGAATCTTCGCTAAACTCCGTAACTACTTCCTCAAATTCTTTGATATATTTGTCATAATAAAATGTGGCCTGTAACCATGTTCCCCACCTCGTTATAATCGGCTCTGGGGGCTATGGAATGTTTGGAAATTTTTCCTTAAAATGTTGCACTCTTAGTGGGGCTTTACCATTTGCCACTAATTTATTAACAGTAGGAAACTGCAAACATATTCCTTCAGCCACTCTGTTTAAACCGTGGGCAATGCAAGTAGAGTGAATTCAATTGGGATACAATATTTTTAGATTATTCCCTGCTTTCAACATACATATAACGAGCTGCATCCGAGATCATCAATAAAATTTTATTCGCCGGTACGGCATTTGGCAAAAATAGTGACGTAAGACTGTCATTTACAAATCTGGTAATCGTATTGCCATTTGTTTTATTTAACATTTTCAAACTTACTACATACCCTCGACTAGGGAAATTTTCATTTAAGATTCCAACAATTAAACTTGCCACGTATCTTCTACAACTATCGGTTGTTTCATCGACAGCGAACCATAAATAATTATCTCCAATGCGATGTTTAATTTCGTTGTAAACTTGCTGAAACACTGGGCCTACATAATTTTTTCGGAGAGTACTTTCAACCGGAATAAGTCGATTGCAGTGTTTTTCAAGGAATTCTTGAAGAGGTCCTTTCTCCAATTTTTTTAAAGGTATATTGGACTGGATCATCATTTTACATAAATCAAAATTAAACTGAAACTGCTCATCTTTTGTGGAAGTAGATGCAACAGATTCATGTATGGTCTGCTGTTTAATTTTAGAAACTTCAAACATTTTCTTCCTTTCTACATGAAGAGTCGTTCTGACATGTTGCGTCACGTTATATTTTTTATCACTTTGAATCTAAAACAACGTACATATACAGGATTAACAAAGGAAAATAGATAAGTGGGCTTACGGTTTTCACACAAGCTCTGCAGAATATTTTGTTGTTTTCTAATTTTAATTTTGGAAAATCCTTTATCCACTCATCCGGCGTCGATTTTACTTTCGGCATTCTTTTAAAATATTAGTAATATTACCAAAAAGAACTCAACATGTAACAAGGGAGAACCACGTATAACACTGAACTACGACAGATGCGATAGTCTGATGGTTGTGAAATAAACGGTTCATTTACTTAAAAGTTTCCATTAGAAAAATTTTAAGGTAGGTATTTGGGTACAATAATCCTTTTTTCTAGAAAATCTTCAACGGTCTTGCCGCAAAATGCCGAAATAGAACATCTGGTTAAAAGCTTTAATTCATTATCAACGGTAGTAAGGATTTAAAGTCATAAAATCTATGGAGTATTTTTCCAATCCTATAATAAAATTTTATTACCCAAACGACCGGAACCTATTCACAGAAAGGGTCTTGAGTAAGTGTACTTCAATGGTCAACTCCAGGTAAAATGCATACGCTACGATACGGCTAACTAACAAGTATTTGTCATCCCGACAAGGCCGGCATTTGAACAAAAAATGCATTAAAACTCATATTCGTCGAAAAAAGCATTAAATAAGCATATAAGTTTTAATATGCATAAAATTGAAAAAAAAGCAAATAAGCATAAAAAAAATGTGTCAAATGACTCCAAATTGTATCATAGTTACAGATATAAAAAAGTTTTGAAGTGATTACATTTTTCACAAAAAGCATTAAACCTAGAAAGATTTAATTTTCATCAATTTATTGATTCATTCCTTTAAAAAAGTTAATGGCATCACGTCCAAAACATTATTATCAAATAAATATAATTTTTTTAAAGGAGCTAAGTCTTGTTTCTTGAATTGCTTACAACGAGGTCTGTCTAATAAAAATTGTTATAGACGACAGACAAACGACAGACCACAGACAGATTTTCGTACTTTGGGGATCATGAAATATTGAGAAAACATGAAAGTAGCCAGTTCCACCAGTGAAACATATTAAAATACTTTATTCGGGTACGCTCGGGAAGTACTTATTTAGAATGAACGTTCCTAATTCCTAAAGCGTAACTGATACCGACTGCATTCCAAAACGAAAGTTTCGAATTTTTTTTTTTATATTTATAAAGGGCATTGTATATATATACCTAAGATTGGTAACGTTTCTAGAAAATCAACTAATTATGGACTAAGAAGCAGTATTTTTGTGGAATTTTGACTATGGGTTTAGAAAAAACGCCACACCTGGCATGGATCTCTGGGAAATTCTATTTATTTTTTCGGAATATTTTAAATAAATAAAATTATTTTTAAACCATTTTTGTAAAAAAAACAGTCTAATTTGGATGCAAACTCGTTAGTTTTTTGTAGATTGAGATGACACCATAAATTTTTTGGAGGTATAAATAAATATATTTTGATTAACAATGGACGATGGTTGCAATAACTTTAAAGCGTCTGCAAGATTTCAAAGTATTCAGTTTTGCTATTCAAAAAAATTCGTCTAAAGAGTTTAGACAGTACTTCCCTCGCTGTCGGAAACGTGACGACTGCATGCCTATTATGTTTTTTTTTCGCAGTAGATTTCAAAGCATTCGGTTTTGCAGTTCCTGAGTAAACCAATAAAATAAATTTACGCATTTATTATTTTTTTTAAATCACCCTGTATATGCAAATTTAGAAAATATTAATGGAGTGATAAATCACAAGTACAGACTCATCATATTTTGTACAGTTTATATCATTAATTTTTTGGCGTCACCCTGTATATGCAAATCCAAAAAATATGAAGGGAGTGATATACCACAAGTACAGACTCATCATATTTTGTACATTTTAGATAGGATTTACTTGAGCTGACGTCTTCAAGTTTTGGGAGGGGATAACCAAATATATTTTGACTAAAGATTTATGATGGTCTTTATAGCCTTACAACATCTGCAACATTTCAAAACATTCGAGTTAACAGATTAAAAATTAAATTGCAAAATGTTGTTTTATAATTTTGATTTTTTTTCCAAAAATCGGGACGTTTCGGGTAAAAACTCAATTCGGAGTCGTAAACTACATGTGTATGACTATGTTATTTTATACAATTTAAAACCCATTTACTATGTACAATTTTGAAGTGACGTCATCACATTATTGGTGGGGATGACTAGACAAATTTTGGTTAGCGTTTTACCATCTATATGATATACAAAATTTCACAATAATGGGCCGGATAGACGGCAGATAGACGCATAGACGGGCAAACAGGCAGACGGAAACGAGACCCGATTTTTCGTACTCTAGGGGTCATGAAAGGTCAAGAAAACGTAAAAGTAGAGAGTCGGCCGAGGGACTCGATTATAATATTTCCTTCGCTTACGCTCAGGTAAGAATAAAAAAGCAAAAATAATAAAACTAGTCCTTGATACGATAAGACTGTCTTTGGCAAATGACATATGTTCCAAGAAAAAAAGGGCGGGTGGGCGGGGCTAGCATTTTATAAGATATGACTGATTTTGACAGTTTTGACATGTTAGACCATTCTTCAACCATTTTCGAGAATTATCTAGACATTAATGATTAACCCGTCAAGAAAACAGAGGGCGGGTGGGTGGGGCTAGTCTTGATAAGATAAGACTGTCTTTGGCAAATGACATATCTCCAAGAAAATAAGGGCGGTTGGGCGGGGCTAGCCTTTTATAAGATATGACTGATTTTTACAGTTTTGACATGTTCGACCATTTTTCAGCCATTTTCCAAAATTAGCTAGACATTTTCTCGTAGATTTAGGTCTCATTTCTTCGAAAATTTCTGTCGTTCTACCAAAATCATCAACTGCGTAGTAGAAAGAATCTCAGGAAACCATTGGTGTTTTATTTTTGTGTAACATTCAAATCATTTTAGAATACCATTCATTGGCATGACGTCATGAAATTGTTGATGGGGATGACTAGCCAACTTTTGGTTAGCATTAGTTGAAATATGTGTAGAATACTCTGTAAAAGTGACAAATTACACTATACGAACCAAAATCTATTGATTCATTCTTTTGCTAAAGTTGATGACGTAATATTAAATACCATACTAAATAAATCTTTCTTGGAGGGTGACGACGGAGGACGATTGTGTTTTTTAATTGCTTATAACAATATAATAAATTCAAAAGAATCTGGTGTTTTGTTGCTGGATAAGACTGGAAAAATTTTTTTAGCTTTTAGTGTTTTATTTTTTACGAATTTAAAAAAGGCTTGAGTGCCGCAGTATTTGGGAACCCATAGTGTATTATTTTGGGAGCACATGGAGATTTTTTTTTTTGTGAATTATTTAAAACAATTTTGGGGGACTTTGGGGTTCAATTGACTGACCTGACCTATTTTTGAGTTAATTTCGGGACGCCGGTTTTTTTTTTGAAAAATTTAAAACAATTTTGAGTATCTTTCGTTATAATCATTTCATTAAATTTCTTAGAGGATACGTCATCTGCTAAAATCAGTCTTATCTTAGCAGGTAGTAGCCCCGCCCACCCACCCTTTCTTTTCTTAGAGGATATATCATTTGGCAAAATCAGTTTTATCTTACTGACGAGTTGATGGCTATATTTTACAAAAAATGGCCAAAATTTGGAAACATTACGAGCTTACTTATATGCATAGGACAGAAATTTTGAACATCTTCTCTAGTGTTTAGTTGGTTTTGCTTTAATGGTTTTTTTTGTTGGTTTTGTTTTTGTTTATAATTTATAAATGTCTTATTCAATGTTTCTTTTTTGATTACGCAACATACTGAAAAGTTAATTCGCCATTTTCCAGACACCCGGTATAATACTGTAACGAAATAAACCCATACGCCGCCCAGGTACGACGCCTATGGGTTTTTTAGTATGTACGGCGATGATGGGTGACTCATCATCGGTGAAGGCGGCCGGATATCGTTCGCTTAAGAAGAGCCTGGAAGCGGAAGTCGCGATGAGTGCTCCAGACAAGCCTAGAGGCGGTGACGGAGGCCTATAATTTGTAATTATAGGCTTTACTTTGATCTTAAAAATTTTATTTTGCAAAAATTATCAATAGTTATTAATCGTTTATTTTATGATTTAATTATAAAATAAATTGCCCCATTCATTAATTTTTGGGGCCACCTTTTCAAGAAAATTTAAAAAATGTTAATGCAATGATAAATCACAAGTAACACATCACATTTTGGCTAGAATTTATTCGGCAAAATTTTCACCTGATCAATTTTTCGGAGGAATAAGTAAATATATTTTTATTAAAAATTTGTCATGCTTATCATAACGATAAAACATGTGCAAGATTTCAAAGCATTCGGTTTTGCAGATTTAAAATTTTGTTTTTTTTTTTTTTCATAAAATCTTGAAACTCAATACGGAATCATAAACTATATGTGTAGGACTATACAATTTAAAACCCATTTATTATGAACAATTTTGAAGTGATGTCATCACACTATTGGTGGGAATGATTAGAAAAAGTTTTGTTAGCGTTTTACCATCCACATGATATTCCTAATATGAATACAAAATTTGACAGCAATCGGCTCAGTACCTTCGGAGATTATCTTTGTACATTGTCTAATAAAAATCCGGGACGACAGACAGATGAACAGACAGGCAGACGGAAACGCAGATTCAAAATTAAAAAAAAAAATCAACACGGGTTCATAAACTACCCGTGCAGGAGTATGTTTTTATGAAATTTAAAACCCATTAACTTATACAATTTTGAGGTGACGTCATCATATTGTTGGTGGGGATAATTGTTGATTAGACAAAGTTTGATTAGCTGATATAAATACCAAATTTGACAACAATCGGTCCGGTAGTTTCGGATTATCTGTCTAATAAAAATCGACATAGACGCGGACAGATGGCAGACGACAAACGGCAGATGGAAAAAGACTAGCGGCAATGAGAGACCTATGTTTTTACTAGGGGTCATGAAACGTCTAGAAAATATGAACGAAATATGAACATGAAATATTAAAAGTAGCCAGTCGGTGAAATAATTTGAGAAACTTCCTTTTATTTCATAAAAGGCCCACTATATAACTTTTTAATTTTCGACTAAATAAGAACTCCTAAAATCGAATTTCTTCAGTCGTTGCATTTCTTTACAATCAAAATCTACAGATGCATGCACGACCGCTAAAAAAAAGATAGTGCTACTTGGAATTTTAGGGTAAACAGATAAGAAAGCACTCATTAATTTTTTATTATTGGATGCAAATATTAGATATTTCTAAATTACTGCAGTTTCTAAACCTGAATCGTGCAGAAATTCTCAGTGAAAATTATAAATCTCAAATTTAAACCTTATTGAAGTAAAAGTATCAGTAACGAGTCAAAATAAACAAACGCTTTTCAGTCCTGAATATTTACGCTCTGCACTAATGCAAAATACGACCATCCTGTTTTGAAGATCTGAAAAAATCTATAAATTACAAAGTAAGCCAGATAAAATAAAACGAAGTCACCTTTATAAAAGTATCCAAGGATAATTGAAACAAATTGAAAGGAGAAACTGTAAACTGTTTTTGGGCCCGGAGCATGAAAAAAATTATCAATCTTTTCACTTCGATACTAGCCATTGACCAATCGGCTTCAAAAACTGCATAAGCCAGATTGCCACTCTACAAATAAAAGTAATTTTATTTTTACTTGTAATCAGACAGGAGTCATTTCTTACCTTTAATATAAGTTCGTTGCCATACCAACAATACATAAATGTTTGAACAGAAACTGCACCCCCATAAGATAGCGCTGAATAAAATTCACTAGAAAATGGAGTAATCTACAAACGCATAATCAAATCTGAAATAATTAATTCATACTTACAGTAGTCAATTTAAACATGACCAGTCCAAGAGACACAGCACTAGCAAAAAATTGAAAAAGCACAATCCAGTTTAAAAATGTATTAATACTTTCCCCGAAACTAAAAATAACTTGATTATAACTTAAAACTAAAGTCATTAGTTACCTCAAAATTTCCCGGTGGTGTTGAAAGCAACTTTTTAACTTCTCTTTCGGATTACCTTCACACAAATTAAGATTCTTTAAATTATCGCATAAAATATCAAACTGAGATCCTGCGAACAACTTCAGCGCTACTATCAGCGTATCAACATTGAAACCACCAATCGCTAGAAGACACGTACTCAAAATTTGATAGATGTATGTAATTTGATACAGCGGTGTTCCTCCAAAATCGAACGGAAACCAAGCAAGAAAAGGCAGTTGACGTTTTCTGTAAGACCCATCCAAGATGGGAAAAATCGCCCAAAACAATAACGCACCCATGCAGGACATCCAAAGCATCGAATACATCTGTGTCCACAGCTTCAGGTCCTTTTCGATAAAAACTTTCTGTTTTACAGTTCGGGGCTGAAACGCCTTTCTGTCAAGCGTTGCCAGTAGCTGCTTGACAATGCGGACGTTTTGAGTGAAATAATATATTTTTAGCACACTCAGAAGTTCAGTTACAAGAACGTACGCTGTTTTCATTAATGCATCGAAGTCGCTGAAGATGAAAAACACATTGATTGCTTGAGTAAGTACGTCGAAAACTTCAAAGAAAAATATAATGAAGATAGCGTAGAGAAGGTACAAATTGAGTTCGTATTTGTCGTTATGTTTCGGCCACAGTCCCGTCATCCACAGGGTAGAAATATTTATGCGAATTGTCGACTTCCAGTCGAAATCTGCCATTTCAAGTGTCGCACCAATTAAAGAAACTGTCACAACGTTTTCTAAATCAATACAGTCGTCTTCGACAAAATTACATCCAGTGACATTTTTCTGATTATCTATGTTTCATTTATATCAATTGCAATGCACAGCGACCAATAAAAATCCATTTAAGATCTGCGCCGTTGGATTGCGTTAAATTAATTAGTAATAGGGAACCACTCCTTCGACATTATGTATGCACCTGCCAATAAACTAATTGCAGAGGAATGGTGACAGATGCAACTGCGCAATTTTTTGTGGAGTTATGTAAAAACTGCCTGCTTTAAAGGCTGACATGCAATAGCTATTTGGTTTATGAGTTTAGTTTATTATTTAAGGGCCACGTCCTACGATCTGTTATCCTTCCCACGATAAGAGTGACCTTCTCCAGAGAAAATTAATTTAGGTTTTGCGACGTTTGCAGTTGTATTAATGGTGTTTAGCTGTGAGACAGTGATTTTTTAAACTGACATATTGTGGTACAATATTTCATATAATATTAGTGTTTTTTGGTTGCAATACCAGTGCACATGAAGAACCTCTTAACTGTAGTGTAGACATAAGGTAAGAGTGTTTTTATTCGATTGTAGAAATTGTGACGTATTTTTTCCGCGTGAATAGAGCAAATTTAGTGTGTATTTAATTGTTATATAATATCATAATAATTAATAATAATAGTTTCTCGAACTAAGTCATCCGATAGCAATAAAAAATACGGTTAAAGGCAGTCATGGATAATTGAATTGATTTTATTAGCATAACGTTAAAATATGTATTAAATGCAGCGCACCAGTTGCATTTAAATTTTTTGTCTGCAGGAATTCGAAACAAATTCTAGATATTTTAATTTAAAACTTAGTTATATTAATTATTTTTTATGAATGCTTATGCATTTTTATCTTAAAACGCTATATACGGAACTTACAAAACAAACCATATGTTGGAAATACGTACTAAAATGTATTGGTTTATTTCCTCGCAAAAATTGATTACGCCATTATTTTTTTTGCATCACCCTGTATAAACAAATCGAAAAAATATGAATACAAATGTAATAGTTTCAAAATCACAAGCATACCCGTATAAACCGTCCGTGCATATTTTCAACGGGAATAGTGGTATCTGAGCAATATGCGTAATGTTTAAAATGTTGATGTTTATACATCGGAAGAATGTCACGTAGACATTTATTTTATTTTGAATGAGTTTATCGCGTTAAAACCGATTAATAAAAATGATTCATAAGTCTCAATTGAATAAAATATTCAGAATGTTATTATTATAATTGTTACGGTATCATTATTTTATTGTTGTAAAGACGAACGTGTTCTCAGATTTTCGAGAAAATGGATGACTGGTTCTGAATTTGATCAATAATAAACTGACTGATTCATTAATTTTTTTGTGTTACCCTGTATAAGCAAATCTTAAAACTATGAACGCAATGATAAAGTACAAATCGTCGCTTGAGAACTTATTTGATATACAGACCAAAGGGCGCTCAGGCCAATGTCGACTCTAAGCGTTCAAAAGAATATTGACATCCTAATAACTTAATGGATTTTTTTCGGGAAAATGTACCTAGTTGTTTTTATGATTTGAAAACATTGTGTTCTACTTTGTGTGAATTTTTAAATGTTTTCAGTGATCATTTTTGTGTATGACATTAACACTGAGAAAGAAGAGAAGAAAATTCGAAAAATCGATGCATTAAAAAATCGTGAAACCGAAAAATTAAAAAATCGAAAATCGAAGAACTGAAAATCGAAAAATGAAACATCAGAAAATCAAAAAAATGTAAAATTCAAAAATCTAAAATTTAAAAACAGAATAATTAAAAATCGAAAAATTGAAAAATCGAAACATCCAAAAACTGGAAAATCGAAAAACCGAAAATCCGAAAAGTAAAAATTGAAAAATTGAAATATTGAAAACAAATAGTTAAAAGTTGAAAAATTGGAAAAGCGGAAAAATAAAAAATCGAAAAAATAGAAAACTGGATAAACTAAGAAACCGAAATAGGCCAAAAACTGAACAATAAAATCTCGATAAATCGGGAATGAAAAATTAGCAAATCGAAAATTTGAAAAAAAGAAAAACTGAAAAACCGAACATCATAAAGCGGGAAGTCGAAAATAGAAAGATTAAGAAACATTAAAACATCAAAAAATCAAAAGCTTGAAAAATCCAAAATTTAAAAATCGAAAATTTGAAAAATCGAAAAATTAAAAGCTAGAGATATCGAAAAATCCAGCAGTCAAAAATAGAAAAGTCGAAGAATCGAAGTATTGAAAAATCCCAAAACTGAATATCGAAAAACTGAAAAATTAAAGAAAAACTGAAAAATCCGAAAACTGAAACATTCAAAAACCGAGAATCTAAAAAATCGAAACATTGAAAAATCGAAAACTCAAAAATGTGAAATCGAAACATCGAAAACTTAAAAAAATCGAAAAAATGAAAAATCAAAAACCTGAAGAATCGAAAAATTAAAGAATACAACAGGAAAATCGAAACATTCGAAAGTCAAGAAATGGGAAAATCAAAACATCGATTAATTGAAAAATCGAAAAATTGATAAACAGAAAATCTAAAACTGAGAAGTCGAGAAATCGAAAGATTAAGAAATTGAACAACCAAAAAATCGAAGAATCGAAATATTGGAAAATCGAAAAGCCGAAAATCCGAAAAGTAAAATATTGAAATATTGAGAAATCGAAAGATCAAAAGATCCAGAAATCGAAAAGTTATGAAGAGGAAAAATCGAAAAATTGAGAAATCGAAAAAACAAAAAGTTGAAAAATTGGAAAAGCGGAAAAGTAAAAAATAGACATCGAAAAACCCAGCATTCAAAAATAGAAAAGTCGAAGAATCGAAATATTGAAAAATCTCAAAACTGAAATATCGAAAAACTGAAAAATGAAAGAAAAACTGAAAATCTGAAAACTGAAATATCCAAAAACCGAGAATCTAAAAAATCGAAAAATCAAAAAAGTGACATCGAAACTTCGAAACCTTAAAAAATCGAAAGAATGTAAAACCAAAAACCCGAAAAATTGAAAAATTAAAGAATACAACAGGAAAATCGAACAACTCGAAAGTCAAGAAGCGGGAAAAACATCGATTAATTGAAAAGTCGGAAAATTGAAATATCGAAGAACTGAAATGAGAAATCGAAAAATCGAAAATTTTAAACATTGAAAAATTAAAATATCAAAAAATTGAAAAGTCTAGAATTTAAAAATCGAAAAAATAAAAAAATCGACACATCGAAAAATCCAGCAGTCAAAAACCGAAAAATCGAAGAATCGAAATATTGACAAATCCCAAAACTGAAATATCAAAAACCTGAAAAATAAAACACTAAATCGGGAAATCAAAATTTGAAAAATCAAAAAATCTAAAAACTGAAAAATTGAAAAATCCAAAAATGTGTGGAAAACGACAATTGAAAACAGATAATCTAAAACCGGGAAGTCGAAAAATCGAGAGATTCTGTAATCGAAACATTTGAAAAATTCGAAAACTTGAAAAATTGAATTGAACTGAAATGAAAAATCGAGAAATCGAAAAATGTAAAATTTTAAATATTGAAAAATTAATAAGAAAAATCTAAAATTTAAAAATCGAAAAATAAAAAAATCGACACATCGAAAAATCCACCAGTTAAAAATCGAAAAGTCGAAGAATCGAAATATTGAAACATTCTAAAACCGAAATATCGAAACACTGAAAAATGGAAGAAAAACTGAAAAATTTGAAAACTGAAATAACCAAAAACTGATAATCTAAAATATAGAAAAATTGAGAAATCGAAAAATCAAAAAAGTGAAACCGTAAAAAATCGAAAAAATGAAAAATCAAAAATCTGATAAATTGAAAAATTAAACAATCCAAGAACAGGACATACAAAACCTCGATTAATTGAAAAATCGAAAAATTGAGAATTTAGAAGAGTCAAAAATTGATAAAATGAATAATCAAAATATTTAAAAATCATAAAATTGTAAACGAGAAAAATTGATAAAACGTAAAATTGAAACATCGGAAAATTGAAAAATCGAAAAACTGAAAATCGAGCACTCGAAAGATTGAAAAATTGTAAAATCCAAAAATTGAATAATAAGTAATCTGAAAAATCCCTAAACTGAAATTTCGAAAAATTGAAAAATGAAAAAAAAACTGAAGAATGGAAAAGCTAAAAAATGTCAAAACTGAAATATCCAAAAACTGAGAAATTAAAAAATTGAAAAATTGACAAATCAAAAAGTCAAAAAGTGAAGTCGAAAAATCAAAACTTTAAAAAACTGAAAAATTGAAAACTCAAAAACCTAAAAAATCGAAAAACGCAGAGTTTATGAAAGTCAAATTGGAAAAATTGATATTTAAAAATCGGAAAATTGAAGAGGAGGTAAATTAGAAATAGCGTAAAATTGTAACATTGAACAATTGGGAAATCGAAAAATTGAAAATCGTGGAATTGAAAATTGAAATAAAAACTGAAAAATCCAAAAATTGAAAAATTAAAAAATTGAAAAATTGAGAATCGAAAAATCAAAAAATCCAAACCTTAAAAAATTGAAAAATTGAAAAACCAAAAACCTGAAAAATCGTAACAATTGAAGAATTGAAAAACTGAGAGTTTATAAAAGTCAAAAATTGAAAAATCAAAATATTTAAAAATCGTAAAATTGAAGAAGACAAAAAGTCAAAAACGAGAAATTGAAAAATTTAGAAATTATAAAAACCAAAAATTGAATAACTAAATTGAAATATCCCCAAACTAAAATTTCGAAAAAGTGAAAAGTCGAAAATTGAAACAGCAATGAACCGAAAAACCGAAAAACGGAAAAAATCTCAATATCAGGGATAAAACACGGACGTTATTACTTTTTCACATTTAAAATAGTTGCAATTTTTTATTTAATCAATAAAATCATTATTTTTTTTGAGACATGAATGACACATTTTAGATACGATTTATTCGTCCAAATTTTGAGCTGACGTCATTAATTTTTTGGAGAGGATAAGCAAATATATTCTGATTAAAAATTGATCAATCTTATCATAACTTTAAAATATCTGCAAGATTTCAAAGCATTCGGTTATGCAATTTCAAAATGAAATTGCGGGACTGAATTATGGGATAATAGTAACAATATGATTAGATTGCCTATTATTTATTTGATTCAGTTATTTAACAAAATTTTTATTTTTAAACTGTGTTGATAAATATCCTGAATTTGTCGTACTTCAGGAGCGAAGGAGGCGGACAAACATTTTGACTTTAAAAATTTTAACATATAAAATGTTGCATGTGTAAGAGAAGAAAATTATTTATTACAGATAACTTAATAAATTTACAATCTGTTGGACAATTTACAATCGCCAGAACTAATAAAAATAATTAAAGTACAAGTAAAAAAACACGCTATATGTACAGTTTCAACATTAAATTGCAAAATGTTGGGATAAAATGATGTTTCCAAAAATTTGGAACCAATTTACTATATACGATTTTGAGGTGACATCATCACATTGTTGGTGGGGATAATTGGACATAGTGGCTAGTATTTTACCATCTACACGATATTCCTAATGTAAGTACAAAAATTAACAACAATGGGTCTGGTAGTGCAGAAGATTATCTGTGTAATAATTTAATAATAATAATAATTTTAAACAATAAATGTACATATTTCAAAATTAAAATATAAATGCATTAAACTTGAACTTAATAATTAAAATAAAAATAACAGTTGATTTCACAATAACGATTCAAAATCAACTATGCGCTTCAATACTGAATATTTACGCTGTGTACTAGAGCAAAATACGACCATCCTGTTTTTAAAATCTAAAAAGAAAAACTGTAAATTATAATCTAAGCCAGATAAAATAAGTATGTCACCTTTATAAAAGTTTCCAAGGATAACTGAAACAAGTTGAAAGGAGACACCGTAAACTCTTTTTGGGACCGGAGCATGAAAAAAATTAATAATCTTTTTACTTCGATACTAGCCATTGACCAATCGGCTTCAAAAATTGCGTAAGCCAGGTTCCTACTCTACAAATAAAAATAATAAAGTTTTTACTTTTCATCACACTAGAGTTAGTTTTTACCTTCAGTGTCAGTTCGTTGCCATACCAACAATACATGAATATCTCTACAATGACTGCACCCCCAAATGATATGACTGAATAAAATTCACTAGAAAATGGAGCAATCTACGAACACATAACCAACCCTGAAATATTAATTTACACTTACGACAGTCAACTGAAACATGGCCAGTCCTATAGTCACAGCACTAGCAAAAAATTGAAAAAACACAATCCAGTCTAAAAATTTATTAATACTTTCCCCGAAACTAAAAATAACTTCATTATAACTTAAAACTACGTAACGTCAATTGTTACCTCAAAATTTCGCGATGGTGTTGAAAGCAAATTTTTAAGTCTTCTTTACTTTTCGAGTCATCTTCACACAAATTAAGTTGTTTTAAATTATCACACAAAACATCAAACTGAGCTCCTGCGAATAAATTCAGCGCTGCTAGGAACGTATCAATATTTGAAGTGCACATCGCCACAACAGACGTGCTCAAAATTTGATAAACGTAAGTAATTTGATACATTGGTGTTACTCCAAAATCGAAGGGGTACCAAGCAAGGAAAGGTAACTGACCTTCTCGATAAGACCCATCCAAGATGGGAAAAATCGCCCAAAACAGTAAGGCTGCGATGCAGGACACCCAAAGCATCGAATACATCTGTGTCCACAGCTTCAAGTCTTTTTCGATTAAAACTTTTTGTTTGACTGTTCGGGGCTGAAACGGCTTTTTGTCTAACATTGTCAGTAACTGCTTGACAATTTGGATGTTTTTAGTGAAAAAATAGATTTTTACCAGGCTCAGAAGTTCGGTTACAAGAATATACGTTGTTTTCATTAATGCATCGAAGTTGTTGTAGATGAAAAACACATTGATTGCTAGAGTAAGTATGTGTACGACTGCAAAAAAGAATATAACGACGAAGGCGTAGAGAAGGTACAAGTTGAATTCGTATTTTTTGTTGTGTTTCGGCCACAGGCCCATCATCCTCAGGGTAAAAATATTTGCGCGAATTGTCAGCCGCCAGTCGAAATGTGCCATTTGCAATGTTGCACCAATTATTAAAATATGAATCGTCGTCGACAAACTAAATACAGTGACAATTTTCTGATATTCCGTCTTTCATTTATATTTATTGCAATACAAATCGACCAATAAAAATCCGTTTGACATCTGCGCTATTCAATTGTATTAAATTAATTAATAATAAGGATACACTCCTTCGACTGAAAGCAGAAATTATGTTTTCAAATACTTAATTAATTAATTGCATAGGAATGGTGACAGATGCAACTGCGTTATTTTTTCAGTCTGTTTATACAGGTGGTTATGTAAAAACTGCAAAAAGTCTTGAATAAACGGTGACATGCAAGTGTAGTTTCCCTTGTTTTCATGACGATTGAAGCGTTGAGAATTCGCTTCTTGCATTTAGTTTATTATTCAAGGGCTACGTCCCAGCGATCTGTTATAATTCCCACAATGAAAGTTATTTTACGTTTTGCTTTGTTTGAGTGTGTTGGTTTAGCTGCAAAAAGAGTGATTTTTTTTTAAAGTTGAACTATCTTGGGAAAATATTTCATTAAGTTTCGATATGAACTGTTAAAAGTGTTCCACACCAGTGTTATTTTGTTGAAACGTCAGGTTACAGAAGAATGATTTTAATATTAGTGTAGATAAAAGGTAAGAATTTCCTACTCAATAAATTATAGAAATTGTGACTTATTTTTTGCATGTAAATATGCCAAACTTGGTGGGTAGCTTTATATTGATTTGATACACTTCTAATAAATTTCTAAGGTTCTCAAATAAATTTAGAATTAACAGTGATTTCTTACTTAATTAAACTTTGGTTTAAACTATGTTCATAATATCTAACATTTCAAAAATCGCCTTGATGTCTTGACGTTTCTCGAAATTTATAAATATAAAATTATATGTATTGTATGGTCGAAAATATTTCTTAACAATCCGTAGTAAAATTTTGTTAGCAGTTTATCGTGTAATATGAACTTTTATGTTAACATTTCAAACGGAGAGTGAAAACCAGTCTTTTTGTGTCCTATGAGCTGCGAAAAAATGCAGTAAATGAAAGTAGATATTTATAAGAAAAATCTAAATTTTTAGAAATTTAAAAAATGGTCAATTATTACTGTAAATTTTCATTATTCATTACTAATTACTTAGGAATTTTCGTCTTCGCTATTCTGAAAACAAGTTTGAAATTTTCGCAGAGATGAAACCGAAAATAACTTCTGGAGGTCGAAATCAACAAAAAAGAACTCTTTATGTAATTTTCGGAAGTACTCGGATAAAGGTCAAAAATTTCTTAATGGTGGGGAGATTGGAAAATTTAGCTTTTAAGAAAGTTGTCTAAAAATCCACCAACAAATTTCAGATATAAGTATTAACGATGTGATTCGAAAAAAGTAAAATTTCTAAAATCTCGCATATTTCCTTTTGATCAATTTGGAAAGGTGATGGAAATTTTGGAAAAAATGTTTCGAAAAAAAAAGTTGTGCAAGCGAAATGTCTTTAGTTGATTTACAAAAGTGCCCGCGAAAATGTGAAAATTTTTCAATATTAGTCAAAAATTGAGCGCCAAATTTTCGAAAGTGGTAGCGAAAATGCCAAAAATTTGATAAGGGGTGGTATTGAAAATTTATCAAATTCTGGAATACAGATCTTGACGAACCAATCCTAACTAAAAACATAGCCCAGAGTAAGGTTTTCGACATTTTCGGTCTCAAAATAATTTTTTATCCACAAAAAAATTTGAGATACAGATATCGACTACGTGATTAGAATAACAGTCTGTTCATGGCCACAGACGAGGATTTTTTTAATTTTTGGTTTAAAATAAAAAATTTTAAAATCTCCCAAAAACTGTAACATTTTCGTTTGATCAATCTAAAAAAGTGGTGGGAATTTTGGAAAAATTGTTTCGGGAAAAAACTTGTGCTAGCGAAATGTCTTTAATTAATTTTCGACAGTGCTCAGGAAAATGTGAAAATATTTTCAGTAATATTGAAAAATTGACCACCTACTTTTCCAAAGCGATAGGGCAAAGGCCAAAAATTTCATAAATGGTGGGACTGAAAACTTATCATATTCTGGAATACAGATCTTGACGAGCTAATTTTAACTAAAACATAGCCTATACCAAGATTTTCGATATTTTCGGTTTCAAAATAATTTTTTTTTCAATATCAGAAAAATTACCACATCACTTTGGAGATTTTGGAAAACAGTCCGAATTTTCGAAGAAATGAATTCGAACTTCTGCAAGTAGATCAACAAAAAAAATGACTTTAGATAATTTTCCAAAGAGGTCGGAAAAATTTCAAGCATTTCTTGAGGGTTGGGGATTGAAAATATGAGCTTTTAAGAAAATTGAAAAAAAAACCACAAAATTTCAATAATTCGTTTATGGCCCCAGGAATTTTTAAATTTTTGGCTTAACATTGAAATTTTTAAAATATCCCAAAAACTGTCATACTTTCGAAAAAATGTTGGTGCTAGCGAAATGTCAAATGTCAAATGGCAAAAATTTCATAAGTGGTGGTATTGAAAATTTCTTGACGAGCTAACTCAAACATAGCCCAGATCAAGATTTTCGACATTTTTTATTTCAAAATATTTTTTTTTCATTATCAGAAAAATTACCACATCATGCGATTTTGGAAAAATAGTTCAATTTTCGAAAGAGCTCGGAAAAAGGTCAAACATTTCTTAAGGGTGATGGATTGGGCTTCTAATAAGAAACTTGTGTAAAAATCGACTAAAAAATCTGAAATATATAGATATCGATGACGTGGTTCGAAAAAGATAGTCCGCTGGTGACCCCAGCCTAATTTTTGTATATTGTAAAAATTTTGAAAATGTAAAGAGTTTGAAATCAAAATCGGATAATTGTAAAATCGAAAAGTTGAGCAATGGAAAAATTGAAAAATCGAGAAATTGAAACATTGTGAATTCGAAAAACTGGGAAGAGCAAAAAATTTTCAAACTGAAAACTTCAAAAATCGAAGGCTGTAGTCGAAAAATTGAAAATTTACTAAAAATCCAAAAATTGAAAATTCAAACAATTTAGTTAATCAAAAAATTGAAAAACCGGACAATCGTAGAATCGAAAAATCAAAAATTAAAATTTTGAAAATTTAAAAATTCGGGAATCAAATAATTGTAAAATCGAAAAGCTGAGAAATCGCAAAACTGAAAAATTGAGACGACAATTGTGAAGTTGAATAATCCGTTTGTAAAATCGGAAAATTAAAAACTTGAAAAATTAAAAATAAAAATTTTGGAAATTTAAAAATCCAGAAATAAAAAAATTTAATTTTCGGTTAATTGTAAAACTGAAAAACCCCGAAAATCAAAACATTGCAAAACGACAATTTTAAATAAAAAAAATGGAAAACTAAAAAGTTAAAAAAAAATCAGCAAACGAAAAATTGTAAAATTGACCAATTCAAAATATGTAAAACTGAAAAATATTAAAACCTATCATTTTAAAGGTAAAAATTGAAAATTAATTGAAAATGGAAAAATTGAAAAACCGCGAGAATCGAAAAATCTGAAAACTGTAAATTCTAAAAATGCAAACCTTCATAAGTCAACATTTTAAAAATGAAAAAAATCGAAAAACTCGAAAATCAAAAAAGCAAATCGAAAATTGAGAATTTGCAAAACTTTAAAATTGAAAAATCGGATAATTGGAAATTCAAGTTTTTTCCGGAAAATTTCTTCGAAAATTCCAAACACCTTTCCTGACTCACCGAAAGGGAATACCACAATTCACGGGACATTTTAAAAACTTAATTTTCGAAGAAATTTTTCGAAAAAGCTTGTGCAAGTCGAAATCAACAAAAAAATGTCTTTAGGTTCCAAAAAGTCCGAAAAATTTCAAACATTTCTTAAGGGTTGGGGATTGGAAAATTAAGCTTTTAAGAAAATTGAATAAAAGTCCGCAAAATCTTTTGAGACATCGACGACGTAGTTAGAAAAACAGTTCATTTATGGCCCCAGAATAGGATTTTTTTTTAAGTTTGGTTTAGAGTTTAAATTTTTAAAATCTCGCATAAACTGTCATATTTCCTTTTGATCAATCTGGAAAAATGGTGGGAATTTTCGAAAAAATGTTTGTGCCAGCGAAATGTCTTTAATTTTGAAAGTGCCCCGGAAAATGTGAAAATATTTTCAGTATTTTTGAAAAATTGACCACCTAATTTTTTCTGCCAATGCCAAAAATTTCATCATATTCTGGAACAAGCCTAGACCAAGAATTTCCACATTTTTTATTTCAAAATAATGTTTTCTTCAATATTGGAAAAATTACCGTATCACCTTGGCGATTTTGGAAAAATAGTTCAACAAAAAAATTTCTTTAGGTCATTTTCGAAAGGGCTCGGAAAAAGGACAAACATTTCTTGAGGATGGGAGGATTGGAAAATTGGGCTTATAATAAGAAACTTGTCTAAAAATCCACTAAAAATTATGAAAGATATAGATATGGACGACGTGGGCCCAAAAACATAGTCCGCTGACGACCCAAGACTTAATTTCTGTAAATTGTAAAAATTTTTAAAATTTAAGAAGTTTGAAATTAAAAATCAGATAATTGTAAAATCTAAAATTTGAGAAATGGAAAAGCTGAAAAGTCGAAAAATTGAAAAATTGTGAATTCGAAAAACTTGAAGAGCAAAAAATGTTTGAACTGAAAACTTCAAAAATCGAAAGCTATAGTCGAAAAATTGAAAATTTACTAAAAATCGAAAAATTGAAAAATCAAACAATTTAGTTAATCAAAAAATTGAAAAACCGGACAATCCTATAATCGAAAAATGAAAAACTTAACAAACCAAAAATTAAAATTTTTGAAAATTAAAATAGAAATAGAAAAATTGAATGTTCGGATAATTGTAAAACTGAAAAACTGCGAAATTAGAAAATTGGAATATGGAAAAATGAAAACATTGCAAAACCACAAATTTTAAATAAAAAAAAATGGAAAACTGAAAAATAAAAAAAAAAATCAACAACCGAAAAACTGTAAAATTGGACAATTAAAAAATTAAAAAACTGAAGAATTTTAAAACCGATAATTTTAAAGCTAATAATTAAAAATGAACTGAAAATCGAAAAATTGAAAAACTTGGAGAATCGAAAAATCGGAAATCTGTAAATTCGAAAAATCTACATTTTGAAAATGAAAAAAATCGAGAAACTCGAAAATTGAACAACTGTAAAACTGTAACATCAAAAAGAAAATCTAAAATTGCGAATTTGCAAAATTGAAAAATCCAAAATTCGGATAAGTATGTGGAAAATCGCGGTGTTCAGAAATCTAGAAATTGAAAAATCGACTAGCACAAATTTTTTTCGAAAAATTTCTTCGAAAATTCTAACCAGTTTTCCAGACTCACCGAAAGGAAACAGGACAATTCATGGGACAATTTAAAAACTTAATTTTCAAACAGTCCCAAGTCGAAATCAACAAAAAATATCTTTCGTTAATTTTCGAAAGTGCTCAGAAAAATGTAAAAAAATGTTTAAATTATTGAAAAATTGAGTAGTTTTCGAAAGTGGCTGGACAAATATCAAATATTTCATAGGGGGTGTTATTAAAAATTTATTATATTCCGGAATACAGATCTTCGCGAGCTAATTCTAAAAAAGATTTTCGACATTTTTGAATTTAAAAATATATTTTTCAAATATCCACGTACTCTTTGCAATTTGGAAATTACGATTAGAATTTTGACAGAAATAAAGCCGAAAATAATTCTGAAAGTCGAATCAACAAAAAAATGTCTAAATAATAAAAAGTTGCATGAAAACCGACAAAAGTCTGGGACCAAGGTTTTCGAATTATTCGGATCAGTATCCAAAAATTGATACAAGAAAAGTGGTTGGAATTTTGGAAAAAAAATTACTAATCGAATTTAACTGAAACATATTTTTCGGTAAAAAAAATGAAGTGACAATTTTTTATATATAAAAAAAATTATTAACTTTTGCCACTAAGCTGATATAAAAGAGCAAAATAGGACCAGGCGGTTTTAAGAATCTAGGACAAAAAAAAAATTAAAAACATTCAGTAAGCATTGTAAATTTACTTACTTTCACAAAAGTATTTAGTGATAACTGAAATACATTGAACGTGGATATTGTTAGTGGACGAGTTAGATTCATACTGAATAACAATAAATCCTTCTTGGTACTGTGTGGGAAATTTATCCAGTCGGATTCAAATGTGGCGTATGAAACAAAATTACTCTAAAACCAAAATTTGAGTATATTTACATAACACAAATTTGTAAATTACTCACCCTCACTTCTACCTCATTTCCAAAATAACAGTAAATAAATATTTGTAAAATTATTGAACAGCCGAAGGAGAGAAGTGAAAAAAACTCAGTCGAAAATGGAGTTACCTCAAGTTTCAATAATTAAAAAATTACTAAGTAAAACATAACCAACTTACTAGAGTTAACTGAAACATGGTTATTCCAATCGATACACCACTCACAATTAAGTGCCAGAAGAGAATCCACTTAAAGAAGTCATTACAACTTTTAACAAACCTAAAATAAGCAACCTATCGTCATTAACAAAAAAAAAAAAAAAAAACAAATTATTAAAATTACCTTAAAATTTGTTCATGGTGTGTAATACACCAAATCAGACTTGCCCTAGTTTCACAAGGATTATCATTTATAAATTCCAAATTTCTCAAGTTATCACTTAGTAAGTCAAACTGACAACAACTGTAGACGTTAAACACACAAATTAGAGCATCGACATTTATACTAATGAAGGTTAAATATCCAGTACTAACTAGCTGAAAAACGTACGTAATTTCATACAACGGAGAAACTGCTGCATCATATGGGTACCAAGCTAAAAATGGTAATTGTTTTTTCATTGTACTTGAACTTAAAAGGGGGATCATCCAGAAAATATTGCAACCGATGGATGCGGTTACAAACACTTTATAAATAAGTTTCCAGAAATTTATACTGGGTTGAATCAACAATATTTGGGTGTTGTTCTGTGGCTGGAACCAGTCGCTTTGAATTAGTTTCACCGTATTCTTAAGAGTTTTCATTTTTCGGATGACGATGACAGCTTTAGTGGCTGCCATAATTTCAATTAAGATTATGTATATAATTCCCACCACCATTTCTAAATTATCTCTTACGAAATAAATGTTGATTACTTCAGACAAGATATGGCTTGCCACCAGAATTACTATGACTGTGGTGTACAACATGTAAAAACCTGGTTTGTAAGATGTGTCACCTGTAGGCCACAACCCCATGAAATTCATGATGAGAAGATTTATTTTAATGTTGTCCATCCAGTCAAAGCGTTTCATTTATATTTTTAGGACACAACCAGCTTACAACATAAACAACAACAAACTTAACATTAAAATTTGTAAGCTCGGAACGCATTCTTATAAGTTATGCTCTCAACCCCCAGCCAATGAAAATTCGCTTTAAAATCTACGTCACTGAAACTAAATTAATTATTAGAAGGACGAACGTTGTTGAAGACAAACAAAGGTAACGTCTTTAAGCGGTTAATAATTGACGAAAGCTAGCAAATTCAGAGAAATAAGTAGTTTCTCTGTCGAATAATTATAGAACTAACGAGCTACAAAAAAGTGCCACTGTTTCTTATTTCATTATAATTGTAAGGTCTGCATCTTCACAAAGTTTCGTATTTATTCGTAATGAATTTAATTTTAGTGTCAATTCAAGTTTACCAACACATTCTGAATGTAGATATTTTGCCCGTTCAATAATTACTGACATCGGTGTGGTTACGTGACTGCTTTCCATTTCCATTCCGCTTTAAATTACTTGGACGTGTTTCGACAAAATACTGTAATCATCATGAGCGTCAGGTGGCAACAAAAGACAAAATGAAAGTAAAATTGCTACTTATGTGAGGTAAAAAATATGCTTTTAATTTTAAATAACATTTTAGAGAAAAAATAGTTTCCACTCTTTACCGACTATACCATTTACGTAATTCGTTTTATAGTTTTTTAAATATCTTTTGATCTCGCCTTACGGTTTCACGATAATTAAATTAATTAAAATTAATTAATATTTTAAAAATATATAATATAAATTATGCATGTGGGCATCTGCACAATGAAATTTAGTTTTGAAATAAAAACGAGATTTAAAAATAGCTGCTTCAATTATGGTGGATGCGCCGGGTCAATTTTTAAAAGGTATAGACAATAATATTGAAAACATTTTTTATTCAAAAAGATTTCTGCGAATCCTCTTATAGTTAAAAGTTTTAACTTATAACTATAGAGTAAATAGAAAATTTTACGTTTCTCGGAGCATCTGGATGTTCTTAGTAGCACAATTACTATAGGCCTAAAACAAATTAGATGAGAGCTAAATTAAATTTAGAAATTATATTTTTAGTTCAGCATCGGGATAGCTTAAATAAATAATAAAGCATAAAATAAAAAAAAATTCTTCGGTACCTCATTTAGATAAAATAATTTCTTTGTTAATTGTTATACATTGAGTCAATAAGTAATTTCATGCCCATGATCCTAAAACTCTTCTACAAAAGAATAAATCTATTCCCGATCGCTTTAACCAATTTTTACTTTTTCGATAAAAGTAGTGGGAACTGAGGTATTACTTGGTATCCATCTCAATCACTTTTAATTGGAGAATTTCAAGAATAGTTCCACATAAAAACAATAGATTTAAGAAAAAATTACAGTCTTTAATGAACTTCTGGATATTCTAACTGAATAAAAGAGCCAGCACAAATTTGAGCCAAGGAAAATAATAGTTTTAAGAAGTAATTAAAAATATATGTATCCTTAAAAGCATTTTCTTCCATTAATTAAAAATATAGAGTGGAAACAAAGCCGGATCCATGATTCTGAAAAGTATTAATCAATTTCCAAAGACTCAATAAATTATTAAATTTTCGACAAAAATAGAGGAGGCGCCGGGATGATATTAACAATTTTTTAAAATTTTATTTCAGGGTTGCCCATGAAATTTCTATATAAACGAATACGTTTGAAATGGATTTATAGATTTTATTGAGCATTTGTATACATTACATAAATAATAAAACCAGCATAAATTGGAACAAAAAAAAAAAGGATTTCTTCGGTGCCTGATTTAACTGAAATAAATTTTTTGCATTAAAATAGATATTTATGGTTAATTGAAGACAGGTGAAAAAATAAACTCATTTTCGTGCTTCCGAAAAATTCCTACAAAAAAATAAATCTATTCCCAACTGGTTTGATCAATTTCTAGTTATTCTATAAAAGGAGTGGAAAATTGGGATATTATTTATTATTCATTTCAATAATTTTTATTTGAAGACTTTCAAAGACAGTACCATATAAAAACAATGAATTTGGAACAAATTATAGACTTCAATGAACCTTTGGACATCCTAACCGAATAAAAAACCAGCACAAATTTGAGCCAAAAAAATCATATTTTTGAGAGGTAATTAAAAATTAATGTATCCTTAAACGCATTTTCCCCCATTAATTAAATATATAGACTGGATATAAACTCGGATCCATCATTCTGAAAAGAATAACTCAATTTACAAAGACTCGCCCAATTTTGAAATTTTCGATAAAATTGTGGAAAAGTCGGGATAACATTATATTTTTTTTTATTTTATTTCAACGTTGCTTATGAAATTTCTATATGAACGAATACTTTTGAAAACAAATTATAGATTTCGTTGAACTTTTGGATACCTTAACTAAATAATAAAGCCAGCATAAATTGTAACAAAAAAAAAGGATTTATTCGGTACCTGATTCAACTAAAATAAATTTTTCGCATTGAATTGGATTTTTCTGTGTTAATTGAAGACACAGAGTGAAAAAATAAGCTCATATCCATGATTCTGAAAGTCTCCTAGTAAAAAATAAATCTATTCCTGATAGCTTTGATCAATTATTATTTGACGAATTTCAACAACAATTTCACATAAAAACAACTAATTTTGCAACAAATTAGTGTTTTCATTGAACTTCTGGATATCCTAACAGAATAGAAAAGCCAGCACAAATTTGAGCCTGGAGAAATAATATTTTTGAGAAGTAATTTAAAATATATGTATCCTTATACGCATTTTTCCCCATTAATTAAACATATAGACTGAATATAAAGTTACATCCATGATCCTAAGAAAAATAACTCAATTTCCAACGGCTCCATCAATTTTTAAATTTTCGACAAAATGGTCGAGGCGCCGGGATAATATTAATATTTTTTTAAATTTTATTTTAATGTTGCTTATGAAATTTCTATATGAACGAATACTTTTGAAAAGAAATTATAGATTTCGTTGAGCTTCTGGATACCTTAACAAAATAATAAAGCCAGCATAAATTGGAACAAAAAAAAGTCTCCTAGTAAAAAATTAATCTATTCCTGACCGCATTGATCAATTTTTAAAATAAGATTGACTCTAATCCTGACCGATTGATTTGATTGTGGTGTGAGAATTCGGACACTAACTCATGCCAATTCTTTTTATTTGAAAAACTTCAACGACGGTATTGTATAAAACAATATATTTGAGAAGAAATGATGGATTTCAGTGAACTTCTGATTATCCTAACTAAATAGAAAACCAGCACAAATTTGATCTAAAAACAGGACTTTTTGAAAAGTAATTAAAAATAAATGTGTCCTTTCCAAGTATTTTCTTTCATGAACCAACCAAATATAGCGGATATAAACTCGAATCCATGATCCTCAAAAGAATAAATCTATTTCCACTGACTTGATCAATTTTTAAATCTTCGATAAAAATTGTGGAGGCGCCGGGATAATATTAACATTTCTTGAATTGTATTTCAAGATTGCTTATAAAATTGCTATAGAAACTTGTATATGAACCAATATATTTGTTAAGAAATTATATAATCCATTGAGCATCTGGATATCGTAACTGAATAATAAAATCCACACAAGTTTGTACACAGGAAATGAATTCTTTGAGTACTGATTTAAATAAAATAAAATTTTTGCACTAAAATGGATTTTTCTTCATTAACTGAAAACATCGAGTAAAAAAATAACCTCGCATCAGATCCATGATCCTGAAAATTTGTTACACAAGAATAAATCTATTCCTGACATATTTGTTAAATAATTTATTTTTGATGTAAGTGATGGGGAATTGAATTATTAATTCATCTGAATCTTTTTTCTTGAAGAATTTCAACAACAGTTCTTTATAAAGCAATAGATTTGAGAAGAAATGACAGATTTCGTTGAACTTGTGTTATCTTAACTGATTAAAAAAGCCAGCACAATTTGAGCAAATAAAATATCATTTTTGAGAAGTAATTAAAAATAAATATGTCCTTTGAAAGTATTTTCCTTCATGAACTAACTACATAGAGGGGATATAAACTCGAATCCATGATCCTCAAGAGAATAAATTTATTTCCAGTGACTTGATCAAGTTTTAAATTTGCGATAAAAATGGCGGAGGTGCCGGGATAATTATTTTATTACTTTTATTTCTAGCTTATTTATGAAACTTTTATTTAGAGCAATATATTTTTTAAAAATTATAGATTTTATTGAGCATCTGGATACCTTAACTGAATAATAAAAATAACCAGAATTTGTTCCAAGAAAAATGGGTTCTTTGAGAACTAATTTAAATAAAATTCAATTATTTCTTTAAAATTAATTTATTCAAAACTTAGCGTGGAAAAATAATCTCAGATATAGGATCCTGAAAATTTTCTACATAAGAATGAATCTGATCCTGACTGATTTGATCAATTTTTATTTTTTCGGCAAAAGTGGTGTGGGAATCGAGACTTGAATTCATGTCAATTATTTTTATTTGAAAAATTTCGGCGATAGTCCTGTATGAAACACTAGATTTGAGAAGAAATGATGGATTTTAGAGAACTTCTGGTTATCTTAACTACTTAAATAGAAAACCAACACAAATTTGAGCCTTAAAAAATTACATTTTTTAGAAATAGTTATAAATAAATGTCTCCTTTTAAATTATTTTCCTCCATCAATTAACGACATAGAATGGATATAAACTCGAATCCATGATCCTCAAAAGAATACATTTATTTCCGTTCATTTGATCAATTTTAAATTTTCAATAAAGATGGTGGAACCCCCGGAATATATATCTTACAACTTTTATTCCAAGGTCGTTTATGAAACTTTTATTTGAACCAATATATTTAAAAACATATATAGATTTCATTGAGCATCTGGATATCTTAACTGAATAATAAAAATAACACAAATTTGTCTCTAAAAAAGTGGATTCTTTGGGAACTAATTT